ACATCATCGGCTGGAGCATCGCGCACGTCACGGCTTGAAGCCACATTGCCTGGTGATCGTGCCAACCTTGACATGTTCGGGATCAAATGTCGAATTTGTCCCAAGCTCGCAGCCATGTCCTTACATCCATGACAAACTCCACCACAACGCATCTCTCCCCACATCCAGGATGATGCATGAATGAGAACAACGTCATAACCAAGGACTTTGAGACACCTGTAGGCAGCAAATCCTTGTCCCACTGACCTGTGGCGACCTGACTTGCACTCCAAGTCCACCAGCACCTTACTGTCGGCTTCCTGCTGTGTGACGAACTGGAGGATGTTGTTGGGATGTTGGATGAACCTGTCTACTTTGCTCATAGTCTCAAGGATCCCATGATGCCAACCCACATGCGACCTGAGGTTAACGTCCTGATCAGGATCGTTAATGTCCTCACAGTTGATGCTCAAAGTGTTCCTGCTGGTTCTGCACGCATGTTGTTGAAATCTACGTCCACGAGTCATGATGATCACCTTCCTGTCACTGCGCAGTTCTTCATTCAACTTCGTCTGCAAGATGTCGTAGTCCCTCGAATGAAAACCACACATGTCATGGTCAGCCATGGCAACTTCCGATGTGGATGCCGTGTATGCGATGTTGTACTTTCTGTGACACTTCGGGATTTGGGGAAGTTCATCCGACGGTGTGTTGTTGATGTTGGTCAATCCTTCAGTCAAGTTCATCACAAGTAAACCTGATTTGGAACATCTCTTGATATTCAATGGTTGATCTTTGATGGAAATCACCCCTTTTGCTAGGTCCTTCACTAGGCCCAACTTGGTTTGCGCATGCAATGAAAGAAGCAATGGGCTGTTGCCTGTTGACAATTGATATGAATCCAACTCCCCATGCATGTTCCCGTCTGGAAGCAGCAGCGAAAAAGGAATAGATCTCACACCTTCGGTCTTGGTACTACCACTTCCCAGACCAGCAAAACTCTTACAACCGTCATCCTTCAATGGCATACTGTAACCCAATCGGGCCAGTCGTGCTTCTGCATCGACTGCCCAGGCTTTGCTATGACAAGTGCTGTTGCAACCTTCATCCAATACTGCAAAGACATGGGGTGACTTGGCAATGTCAACAGTTTCATAGTTCATGTAAACCAAGTCTTGGGGGTATTGAATGTCACTTCCATGCAAACAAATGCCAACGTACCCAGCTAACTCCCTGCCCGAGGGGTCGCCGTGCCCATCTTCATTCACAAAAGAAAAACTGTCCTCTTCCTCTGTTACGTCATTGATGGCTTGGTGAAGTAGTTCATGTAGACGTGCACGGGTCATGACCTCAGATTGACAGGTTTCGGTAACAAGAGTGGCAAACAGGGGCAACAACTCTTCCAACTGGACTGGATTCAATCCATCCGATTCTTCAACCAATGATTCAACAATGGGGACTGTTCGAACTGATGCGGTTTCAACCTTCTTGGCAATGGCAACACGCTCCTTGCGAATCTGCATAGGAGCTTCATCAATGAAAGTGCAACACTTCTTGCAGAAAGTACGGTGTGTTGATTTGCTGGATCCCCTAAAATCGGTGTCATCATGAGGGCAATTCTCAGGGGACATCAACGGTACCATGTCACGTCTTGTTGTTTCGGAATGACCGCACACAAGACAGGTCTTCCTGATGGTGTACCCCGTAGAACCTTGTTTTGTAAACTCACGACATTCCTGACACTTGTTCGGCAAAGGAGGATTTGGGGGTTTCTTTCTGCCAGTTTCCCGAGTCACCAACAAATCTCGGTGCTCGACACGCTCAACAGGGACTTCGCGCAAGTGAATCCCATCAGCACCAACCACAAAGTACTTGTCAACCCAATTCAACCATGTGACATAGTATGGACTCTTGGGGGTATGTTTCTTGGCATGATGATAGTACCCTGTCTGTTCAAACAACACATTCCAAAAAGACAAACCCTTGAACTGTCCAACAGGAAAGATGCACCCATGGTCCTCGGGTCTCATTGTAACATCGAGATCCCGGGAAATCAAGCCAACGTTGCTGCTGGATGCTGCTGCACGTGAAGGTCGACTGCTGGGCTTCGCTTGTCGAACTGCCATCATAGCAACTCCATCTCTGTCACGATCAGGTGAAGCTGTCAAAGTCACACCATCGTCATCTGAAGAATCGCTCATGTCGGCAAAGTGAGCTGCGGGCTTTGGGGCTGACTTTCCAGGGGCTCCGGCTTTCGACCCCGGGAATTTACATTCCGGGTCACCGGCCCAGTGCCCTATGACTCCGCACCTCAAACATTTGCTCTTCGACTTCAGCTCTGTGAGCTTACGTCTCCTCTGATCGATAGTGAGGTTGGACTTCACGATCTTTCCTTTGCCTTTTCCTTTGGGCTTCCCGAAGGATTTCCCCTTGCCACCTGCTTTCCCCATTGCGGTGAAAGCAGCAAGTTGTAGCTGGATAGCGTCTCCTGCCTGTCGATCATCTTCTGCACCTTCAACTTCAAGCAAGCTGTTCAATGCAACTGCTTCGTACTCATCGACGTCGTCAAAGTAATCAAATTCGTTGTCACCTTCTAGGTTTCCTGGCTCCTCTTCTGCAATGTCACCAAGCATGCCAACATATGAATCATCCTCCCAGGATTGATCCACAGCTTCATCCCAAGATTCTGCATGTTCCTCCCCATCATCGGGGTAGGCTGCATAGGCTGCTTGGGAATACGATCCCTTCGAAGAAGGTTTGCCTTTGCCATAACCCTTGCCTGACGACTTGCCATGCTGTTGAGGATTACCACGTCCTGTCCAGGATCGTGACCCTTCTCGCAAGTGAGTGCCACTGTAGTTCTCGATCAGCACCTTGCCAACACCTTCAAAATCCTTAGTGTCTGCACAGGCCTTCACAACGAGGATCTCCTGTCGATTGAGCCCACTCAACTCCAACATCAACTCTGTCCTCAAGCTGTCCGAAAACACCATTGTGTCATCCAACTCGCAAAGCATGTGCCACCAACGTCGTCTCCTCTGAACATAGGAAAGCATGGGTTCGCCTGGCTGGCGAGACAAAGGACCACCTTGCTTCTGTCCTGCTCGAAATAATTCCTTGGCTTCCTCACGGGCTCTTGGGAACACATGGGATTTGATCTCACCCACAAGTTTCACAAGGCCACCAGGTTTGGACAACACTTCAAGTCCAAGATCCCTAGCTATTGAGAAAGCATCTCCTCTCAGTCCTTCAATCACCTTGTTGACCAATGGTCCACGGTCAATGTCTGTCTTCTGCTTGCCGGACTTCGAGGATTTTCGGCTCGCTCCAGACTTCGGAGTCGAGACTGCTGATGTAGGCTGGGCTGCTTGAGTAGCACCCGACAAATCTGGAAAAGTAGCATACTCATCTGCGTCTTCTGCGGCAGGCTCTGTTGCTGTGGTCCCAACGGGATCCGCAGACTTACTTGTCTCCTCCTCCAATTGTTGCTCATAAAGACGAATCCGAAGGAGAGTCCTGAACTGCCAATCATGAAAGTTCGCCGCATCACCTGCATAGATGTATGATCCACTCTTCGTCTCAAGTGGTGCCGACGAATGGCGCTCCTGGCTGAAACGAAGGCCATTGATCGACATGATGCTCGCTCCGTTCGGAGTCGAACAAGAAGAAAAACTGCAGACGATAAGATTCTTATCGTCTGCTTTCAGGCGTTAACAAGTGCCTGCCCTGGTCAGGGTCAGACAGATTCCCGAACCACGACACACTCGAAGTTCAGTTGATTCCCAAAGTTACCAGACTCAAATTCACAAAGAGTTCCCTGGGTCACTGACGTACCACCGGATGCGGGTCGTCACCCGCTCCGCTACCAATCTGAATTGGAAACGGGATCGTCAAATGCCCAACTTTTACCACGGCAGCGCGGTATGACTCAAGGGCCCTAAAGCCAAATGTCAACGGGGCATGTGATCACTTGGCTATACAAAATATACATTAGACAGGTCAAACTCACAATGGTGTAGATAATGGGGATATGACGGGATATAAATCAAAAATAGGGGATGCAGTGGGGAGAGAGTAGGATAGTGTCTATATATCTGTATATATATATACATGATTATACATGCATAACTACAAATATACGTATACATATATATATAACTATGGACAAATTATATCAAGTCGCGAACCTGAAATGTTGGGCCATTTTGTGAGACTTATATACACCCTTTTAGATCTTTTCGCTAGCCATCATTCTGTTATGACATCGCCCAATTTTTACAGTCGTCCCCTTCAACAAACTCGCACAGCATCGGGGAGTTGGTCAAACAAGTTGATTCGTGGAGGACAGATGAACACTCAGACCTTAAGAGACCTTAAGAGACCTTAAGAGACCTTAAGAGACCTTAAGAGACCTCAAGAGACCTTAAGAGACCTTAAGAGACCTTAAGAGACCTCCAACATTTGACAACTTTTTTGGATCAACCCAAGTAAGTGCTCCAGTTGACTTTCATCCGAAAAAATGGCCAACAACAACAGCCACGCTGAAAAAAAATCCGTGGATTTTGAAGCTCATGTTCCCGTCGGCCAAGAAATATATGAGGAATTTACCCTCTGGTAATGACTAACATAGCTATTGAAAATGACCATAGAAATAGTGGATTTTCCCATTAAAAATGGTGGATCTTTCCATAGTTATGTAAAAGTTTACCAGAGGGTAAAGAAACGTTGTAAACTGGGGGAGATAAATAACTCTCAATAACTCATGTTCAGATCTTTTTTGAGTTATGCTTTGCCCCCATGTTCCAATGTTTCTTCAATTCTAATATTGAGATGACCCATGTTTTCCCCCATTTTCAGACACGGCAAATATTCAATATTCAAGCTGCAGACTCTGCAGACATGCATCCCATATTATATATATATATATTATATCATTATATATCCAACAAAAACTTCATGTTCTATCGTTTTTTCCCACATCATATTCAGTTACCATCCCAGCTACGCCCAATCCAAGCGGCATATCCATCTGTGGACGGCCTTCGCGAGACGACCGACGAGTAGACGCCGCTGCTCGATGAACTGAGGAAATTGGCGGCGCGTTTCCGCAGGATTTCAGCGAAAGGGAAAGGATGGAAAGGATACCTTTCAGAAAAAGAGAGAAAACAGTGGGAAATCTGAGAAATATATATGGAAATATATGGGAAATATATGGGAAATATATGGAAATATATGGAAATATATGGAAACATATGGAAATATATGGAAATATATGGAAACATATGGAAATATATGGAAACATATGGAAATATATGAAAATATATGGAAATATATGGAAATATATGGAAATATATGGAAATATATGGAAACATATGGAAATATATGGAAATATATGGAAATATGTCGATGAGATGGCAATTTGTAGATGTGTGTAGTAGTTCCCAGCAAGAAATGGAAAAATAAATCACCATAAAATTGAGATCAAAACAAAAAAAAATCAGGATCCACGCAGATCGTCACACTGCAAATTCCAACCATCAAAACAGGTGTTGAAATCTTGAGAGGTGAGCAAGGTAAGGTCCCGGTTGACGAAAACGCCAAGTTGACTCACGCTTCACTTGGTGAACTGTTGGAGTTCATGGGTTTATAAACCAACAAAGATCACTGGGGGTCCTATCCTAGAATTGCTACGTCATCAGATGGATGAAAGCCTAAGCGATCAAGTGACAAGGCCCAATCTTAGATACAAAATGACACCTAAAGCATCTAAGAAACCTTGGTTTTCGCTGATCATATCCATATCCATCATATCCCTCCATTGTCCCTCCATCAAATTGGTAGCATTGAAAACAACTAACCCCTTTTTTTCCATAGACATATGGGTATGGGTCAAAATTAGGTACCCCAATAATTATGGATGGTTAATGCTAAACTAGACATTTCCATCTGTGGTCCCACATCGGTCTTCCATTTTGACCCACATCCATATCCCCAAAAAACTCATCTACTCCCCAAAATTTGTCACCAATGGGAGTCAACTTGGCCGAGCCACTCCAGTTGATGGTCTTGGAACTCTTTGTGCTTCGTGCAGTACTGACGCGGTGGAATCGGTGGCAGGGATGGAAAAGCGGAACCAGCTGAACCGCAAGGCGAAGTCTGAAGAGTCTGGACTTTGGGGGAACATGTCTGGTTGGTGGTTTTTCGCCCTACCCCTCTGAAAAATGTGAAAGTCACTGGGGTTGGGATGACCCCTACGACCCCCCAATGTGTCATTTGTATTGTTATTTACAGCATAAAATGCGTATTTTTAGTATTCCATTTTTGTCTTCTTCGTATATAGTCATAACAATACAATAGGAAAGTCTCAAGCGCAAAAATTTTCCTATTAGCGATTGGTGCGTAGAGGCAGTTTTCACAGCAGCATAAGACCTCAGCTTAGCAAAAGTGATGCTGCTGCGGCAGGGTCGACTCGTTGGTGACTTCAACGTGGTTCTGTGCAGACACAAGTCAAGCATAGTGAAGCAGATGGCGGGTTGAGGGGGGTCGTTGGGGGGGGGGCTGAGCATATATATATATATGAAATTGAAAATAAAAAAAAACATCCAGCCATGTTCCAGTCACCACCAACCAGATGTGATCAACTGAAAATGTGATATCAATGGGACCACCAACAGAAAACCTCATCATTTCCCTTGCTTCGTCCCTTCCCAGGTCGACCCAGTGGGACCCAGTGGGACCCAGTGGGACCTTGGTTGCAGAGTCGTAGGACACGCCGAAGCAGTCCTGCATCATGGTGAACTCGAGATATGGTCACAATTAGCGATGCGTGGTTCGAATGTTTATGGGCTACTAGGTTACTAAACAGTTCTTTTTTTAAGATATATATATATATATATACCCCAACTTCAACAACATCTACAACTAAACCATCCCGATTTTTCTCCGATGTTTCTCGATGTAGAATTCTCCCAGTGCCAGGTCATGACTTGGAGATCTTTCAGGGCACCTCGTCTTGGCAGCATCTCTGCTGGCATTCCTCCAGAGTGTCCTGGGATGGGAAGGGGATGGTGAGAAAAGGCTCTGAAAATGGGGGAAAAAAACCATGGAAGTGCGATTTCATGGGAAAAAGATGGGAAAATGATGATTTTTGGCAGAAAATGATGATTTTTTGTGGACTTCGAAATGATGAAAACCAGCACCCGGTGGCACCCTATTGACAAAGCCATGTGGAGGATACCATCCAGGCTTGGCAAGCCAAGCCAAGGTGAGGCCCGTTGATAGCTACGTTCAATTTTTTCTTGCTGAACTATTGAATTTTATGGAGGGTTTATGGGCAAGTTACCCTCTGGTAAACTAACATAGCTATGGAAAATCACCATTTTTAATGGGAAAACTCACTATAAATGGCCATTTTCAATAGCCATGTTAGTTTACCAGAGGGTATATCGTGAAAGGAAATTTCGTGGGCTTTTTTTACCAAAAACTGATCATTTGAGGGAACCTCACCTTGGCCATTGGTCCCCTCCTGGGGTTATCCTATGACCAGTTCGATATATCTACCATAAACCCAATGGATTTCAGCCACTTTTTTGCAACGGTTCACGCGATGTTTACTGCTGAACTCCATTCATATTAGTTTGATAACTTTGAGATACCATTAAGTTTACTGGTTAACTCATGTTAACTCCATTAATCCTAAACCATTCGTATCCCATAAGTCCATATATATAAGTCCTATTTTTCAGTGGCTAAAACCAACGGCTATCGTTTCACCTTTGGAGGTCTCGCCTGTCCAGATCCGATGGCGACCCACGGTGCATCCCAGGAGCATAGAGTTGCGTGCTGTCGAGGATGTTGCTGGACGATAGTCCTGGCCCCATGATCAGCGACATATCTTGGTACCCTCTGGTAAACTAACATGACTATGGAAAATCACGATGTTTATTGGGAAAACTCACTATAAATGGCCATGTTCAATAGCTATGTTAAATTACCAGAGGGTACATCTGAAGGAATAAACGAGAGAAAGTTTCAAGTGAAAAACACACATAAATCATCGTAAATATATGTAAATATTCATGAATCACATGAAACACTGTGAAAATTGACCTGTAGAATATGCCCTTCACCAATAAGAGGGTTCCTCAATCTTCCTCGTGTTGTCGTTTTTAAACATCACCGGCGATTGCGATTTGCAGATCCAAAAGCTGGCATCTGCCATTATGATCGCCACCGGACACCCGTTCCTATCAACGAAGTGCAGCGAAAATTCCGGCTTTTTTCGCCTTCCAAAAACTGGTCGTCCAACCGGAAGACCACAATTTGCAAAAAAGAAAACACTTGGTTGTGAGTCAAAACCCTGGCACCCGGATGGTACCTAAAATAGCTGGTTCATGGATGTTGATTCTTCCAAATATGCTAATAATAGGTTTTGACCCATCCCCACTTGGATTTGAAGCCCAAATTAAAGGGAAGCCTCGCCCCATCCATCAACCAATGACGTCCTGAAATGGCGCTGGAAAATTCACAGCCCAGGCTTTCAGAGCAGCTCCTGAGACGGCTCCGTGATGTCGTGACGCGCCAAGGGGCGGTGAATGGTGGGATAAAAAATGGGATACCCTCTGGTAAACATACAAAAAACTATGGAAAGATCCACCATTTTCAATGGGAAAATCCACTATTTCTATGGCCATTTTCAATAGCTATTTTGACATAACCAGAGGATATTCATGAAGCTTTGTCTGGGATTCAATGGGATTTTATGAGATAAATTCATATGGAGGTCTCATGGGAAACTTAAAGTTTCATCAGCTCCTAGGGCCTATATAGGGACTTACCTAACAAGCATGGGAAAACTATGGTTTTGAAACAAGGCCTCCTGGTGTTATCTCCAAGGCTGGAAAATCTGCCTCCTTCGGGTGACCGGGGTGTTTTTCTTGGTTTCTGGTAGGGGAGTGGCAGCCACTATCCAGTTGGAGATTTGCCAGACCTGGACCTCTGGTAACCATGGCGCCATGGGGATTTGTTGTGAATTTTCCCTGGATCGAGATTTCTACCCTCTGGTAATGACTAACAGTTTGCTATTGAAAATGGTGATTTATAGTGGATTTACCCATTGATAGCATGGTGGATCTTTCCATAGTTTTCTGTAAACGTTTACCAAAGGGTAGCTGGGAAAATCGACAAACTCAATGGGGAAGTTTCGAATTTCCACATTTGATGACCAGAGGCGACCGCCCACAATGGAGCTGATGTTTCTCCACCCAGCATCAGCGAAGGATCACGGGGATATCAACCATCCTTACAAAGTGTTTCTCCCCAGCTTTTTAAGTAAGTGGGTTTGCAAAAATATCCACTAGTTACAAAGCAAGCTAGTCAACTAGGGGACCACTTCGCGGCTTCCCAATACGAATAGCCAGCCTATATCGAAACAACAGTCACCCTAGACTTGAATGTAAGCTACTGCAAAGCAGGAACGGCTACTGATCATTCCAAAAATCACGGCCAATCGTAGATACCCTGCGCCAAAACAAACACTTTAGCTGATGAGTTTATTCCTTCGTGTATAGTGAAAAATAAACCCACTATAAATGTACAAGGTGGGGCCCCCTAGTTAGCTAAGTTGATAACTAGGTTAAGTATGGTTTATGGTAGATATCTCATATATATATACCTATATATAGAGTTAATGGTGGATATACATAAACCAACAAACATAACTAGGGGGGCCCACATTGTGTAACCTGTTTCGCCGGGGTGTTTCCCCACCACACCCTGTTTCGTTTTCCCCCGCTGGGCCGAAGGGCGTAGCGCTGAACTGTCCCTGGACGCATGGGAATGGAATCTCCGACATCACCTGGCCAGAGGTGACTTTTATCGATGCCATGGTGAACCTTTCAACCCCTTGGGATTGTTGGGATATACCTGGCCTGGTAAACGTTAACAAAAAACGAACTGGAAAGATCCACCATTTTATAGCTTCGATTCCATCCACTATTTCGACTGGGCCATGTTCAATAGCAACCTGTAAACGTTTACCAGAGGGTAACCCCTATAAGTCTTATAACTATGGTGAAATCTATCAACTTCTAGCTGGAACACTTTCAAGTAAACATCTGAAATGCCCCCAATCTGGGACCTTTTTTTGTTAATCTGATACTAATGTCAGGGCGTTGGGGTGATATATTTATTCAGCTGAAGATGGGTTCTGGAAGGAAAGTGGAAGTGACTGACCAAGAAAATTCGGCCCTTCCCAGATCAAATCATCTTTCAAATCCCACCGAAATTCCTTGCTCTACACTTGGAGCAAAGCGGCTCAAAAAAAAGATAAACTGATTCCGTATGGTTGATTTCCCAAGAAAATATCGAACATCACCTTCAGCAAACCCAGGTTAGTGTTCAGGAGGGAATTTCCTAAGATTGTTGTGCCTTCATCCATATTTGTTTCCTTCAATCCATGGTTTTCCTTGGACTTCATCGCATTTTTAACAAATGAAAGGTGCTTTGACCAGAACAATTCTCCACGTTTTGACTGTCTAAATCCCAAAAAATCTGGCTTCCCTCAGATTTGCTCCATCTTTGGGGTCGAACATCCCCTATTGAAGTTGTGGGACTTCAAATCGTGGATGGTCCCAGATGCCCATCATTTCCCATGTTTTGGTGCGTTTTCTCCTGGGACTACCTTCCAAACAACATCGAAAAAACAACAAAACCTGGATTTCTTCGGATGTGTTCATGTTTTCCAAAAAAAAATGTATGGATTTCTTCGGATTTTTCCCAAGAAATATGGATTTGTCTGGGGATTTTCCGACATTTCAGGTGCCTTTCAGGTGCCCTTTCCTACCGGGGCTCCAAGGACCTCAGTGTCGTTGGTGAAGTTGCTGACGTTCGTCTCCATGGTGGTCCGAGTGCTGTGGGCGGCCTGTGAGAGAAAAAGAAAAACTACTATGCATGTATATATATATTATATATATACATATATATATATATTATATATTATATATATTATATATATATTATATATATAGCCATAGAATGCATAGATTTAGGTCTGCATTTTGGGATTCGAACTGGTGTCCTCCACCAGGCCGCGCGCGTGAGCTGTTCACGCGACAGGTTCACGCTGAACGCTAACTTGGTGAATTCCATTGGGTTTATGGTAGAGATTTCACGAACTAGTTTTCATGGGGTGAAACTAAACCAACGAAACCACATCACTGGGGGCACCTGTATGAAAATAGATAGAGACCACAGAGACCACCAAAAATTTGCCTCTATGGTGAAAAGGTAAGCCATTGTCAGACAAACCCATGTCATTGATATCACTAAGGAATTCATAGAGTCAACTGACTTCATCATCCTGGGGACTTAGTTATCGTGAGAGGGTCGCGAGCATCAAGAGTAAAAATCCAAGTAGGAGGCTGAACATGGCTGCACTAAATATCAGTAAGGCTAAGTATATGATGTATTGGATTACTAATCGAGGTTACTGTAAGCTTAACTATCGTCATAATTGAATCTCCACTTTTGCTGTTTGAACTTGTTGTTTCTTACGATCATGCCGAAATCCACTGATTAAAATAACAAAATGTTCTGCATGAAAATTAACATTTCTATGGTTCATTACCTCATCTTTGGAATCACCCACTATTTGCTTCTTGGTTAAAGAAGCCTTCGCGATATCCTCCATGTTGTTCCCGTGTTATTTATTTATTTGTTTGTTTGTTTATTTATTTATTTGTTTGTATAATGTCAACCCCGGATGAGACTATACCATGGTTTATTAATTAGGAAAGTACCCCTCCAATAGTCATTTCATCTAATACTTTTTTATGGTACCCTCCCAGTTAAACAGCCTTGTTTACGGGCTTTATTAATCCAGGGTCGACATTATATATATACCCTCTGGTAATTTAACATAGCTATTGAACATGGCCAGTTATAGTGGATTTTCCCATTAAAAATGGTGGATCTTTCCATAGTTATGTTAGTTTACCAGAGTGTATCCCCATGGTATTCCCATTATATCCCCATGATCTTCCCACGATCCGCTCATATTCCCATCTTCCCAATGATCCCCTCCCATGATCCCCTCAAGGCGCCGTCACGCCCGTCACGGTCACTTGCACCGAACTCTCAAGCGCCGGCACCTGAGCGAAGCGGGGACCACGGTAGTACCCCGCGCAACAGAAGATACCCTTTGGTAAATTAACAGTTCGACCCTGCCAGATAGGGGTTGGAAGACTAGTGAAACCACTATAAATTGGTCATTTTCAGGGTCAACAAGTTAATTTACCAGAGGGTACGAAAATATGGAGATTTAAGCCACAAAAATGATGATTTATATGGATGAGATTGCGTGCAAATAAAGTCCAATAACTTTGGGGCTTATATCGAACTAATTTTCATGAGGCTAATCAGTTGGGTGCATCAATATCTAGATGGTCGATGTTGGTGGTTGGATAACCCTCATGAATCTTGCGGCCATGGCTGGGGATGATTTCCCTAAACCATGATTCCAGGGTTCGGGAGAACAGTGTCGTGATGAAATTGACCCAGATATATCATGATATATCAATTGATATATCTACATGTGCCATCTTAAAGAGTTGGATTTACAGGGTGGTGCCTTTTGGACTCGCTCGAACTGATACCTGGTGGGCAATAAAATTGCTTCGTGATAACCACCATAGTTCGTTCATCAGATTTTTTTCCCACAGATTACTAAATATCATATCAAGTCGATTACAGTTGCCATCATTTTTTTGTATGTACCCTCTGGTTATTTAACATAGCCATGGTATAGATGGCCCATAGAAATAGATGGTTTACCAAACTTAAAAATGGTGGATCTTTCCATGGCAAACTGTTAGTCATAACCAGATGGTAGATATATCTATATATAACTATATAGCCATGGAAATGTACCCAAGGGTAATTTATAACTATATATAGCCATTATTCTTAATATCACTATCAACTATCTATATATATATGGGTAAATTATAATATTTCATTGACCTGAATTAAGGCCATTTGGGGATGATGTTCCTTACTAATTATGATTCCAGTGAGGTCGCAGTGAGGTCGTTATAATTTACCCATATATATATATATCATATATCATATATCCCATGAAGTGTCCATTGATATGCCATCAAGAGTCCATCAAAAATAAACCGCTGTCAAAGTGCAGAAAAATATTCCTGCATGTTTTTTTTGTAGACCATTTTAGGTCAAATAGTCCATGATATTCCATGATATTCTGTGATATTCCATGATATTCCATGATATCCCATCATTATAGCCCATTGTTTCTATCATGTTGTTGGTTCTATATTCATTCCTTGAATATTCTATTCATATTCCATCTATATGCCGTATATCCATTGATATCCCTCGTTTTGAACGCTGCGCCGCTCAGTTCCCGCCTCAAAGAGGGAGGCCGACAGCGGCCAGAGGAACAAGTCGTTGCCGTTGCCGTTGGACACCACAGCGACCTGGCCAGGTGCCCAGTGAGCTGCGAAAACGCGACAGGTTCACGGACATAGCTTGGTGAAAACTGTTGGGTTTACGGGAAATATAAAGAACTTGTTCATGGGTTAATGGATGCCCTCTGATCATTGGTGAATTCTATGGTTTATGGTAGATATCTCTATATTTACTATGGAAAATCACCATTTTGAATAGGTAAATCAACTATTTCTATGGCCATGTTCTATACGAAATTCCTATTGGTTTTTGCTCACTGGAAGCGCTCTGATCATTGAACTTAGCCTCTGGTTATTTAACAGTTTGTGAACTGGAAGCCATGGCCCATTTCCTTACATTATTTTCCCAGCTAGAAACCTCCATTTGTAATGGATTTTCCATGGCTATGTTAAATAACCAGATGGTAAATAATGATGTTTGTTGGGAAATAACCAACAGTAATGGTATTATAATGGAATATATTGATGAAATATGCAAGGGATATCTCTAACCAGCTTGATATGATCAATGGCCATTTCAGGAACCGATTTATTGGAGTACCATTGTGTTTAGGTCTATGTAAGGGGTAAGGGAATATGCCCCTAAAATATGCCTTGATATGGTAGCGTACCTCCAGTACCTGAAACGGCCATTGAAACGGTAGTCGATAGAACCCATTATTTTTGAAATAGAAAACTCCAGAAAAGCCAGGTATCTGGCCATGGGTAAAAACCCTGGTACCCTGAGTGAACATCAGAGGTACAAGTATATAAATGGAATGGGTGTTCATGCCCCCAAATATCATATTAAAAATTATAGGCTTTACCTCACTTCGAAATAGACTCATAGACCTTTCATTCGCCATATTTCGGGAGTGAAGCTTTTAATGTTTTCACCAACTCCCCAGAACCCTGGTTTTTCATGTGCCAAAATTCTCCAATGCCTCCACTCTGCTTCGCATCAGGTCATACTCAATCAGCACCGGAGGCAAGTTGCCGCCCGGCCGCCACATGTGGATCATATATTCCGTCACCGTCTCAAGGGAGTTGCTGGGGTTGCCTAGGCCACCCGCCCAGGACCTTTTGGACCCGGTTTCTTTTTAGGATACTGTAAGGATACTGTAGTGATTCATACCCTCTAAACATACAAAAAGCTATGGAAACCACCATGTTTAATGGGTAAATCAACTACAAATGGCCATTTTCAATAGCAAACTGTTAGTTTACCAGGGGGTATATGATTCATATGAAGATGGGGGAGTTCCTATTGACAACTGGGATGCAAAAATGATTTCGTACAATACACTTGAGAAAAGGGGGATGCATCTCGAAGCAAAAAGCAGGAAGTAACTCCCAGGGTGTGAGTTTTGATGAGGATTCCTTGTGTTGGTTTATTGGAAAAATCTACAGGAAACCCTTAAAATTGCTCTAAAAAAACCTGGTGTCCTTTAGTTTTTTCCTCAAAGCGACCCATTGAAAGATACAAAATTCGCAGAGGAAGTGGCTTCGTTTACCCCAGTTCATCCAGTGTAGGGTTGCTCCAACCTGGCGTTCACCAGCCGGGGTGAACCACCAAGTAATCTCTCCTCGCACGAAAAAAATCTCCCAACAACTTCGCATTCCCAGAATTTTCGAGAAAAAAAAATAGCGGGAATATCCCCACAATTCATATGGCCTTATATCCTGAAATATGGTACGTTTACGTAGCTCCATCTGTTGGATCCTTGAGATCGCTCCAAATCCGATCGCCAGGGCGCTATAGGAATCCATCCACCAGCCTTCCGTGGCGACTTTGGTGCCACTGGGCATGACCATCAAGTTCAAGGCTTCCGTCAACTCGGGGCAAAGCTGGGGATGGACGTGAAGTCCGAAAAAAACATGACACGTGGCTACGAAATGTCATGAAAATGGCTACCTAAATTGGTGTTAAATGGGTGATACATGGCTACATGGCTACAAAATGGCATTTGTACCTCACAGTTTTAGGGGAAAGCCCCTAAAAGTCATGGTGAATCATTGTGTAAATTAAACCCCATTTGGAATGGCTATTTGATGGGTGTACCTCATTCTCAGACAAATTAAATGTAGTCGCAAAACTACTTTAAAATGGTATGGATTATGGAATGGGTGTTAAGTGGGTAGAAAATGGGTATATATCGCGGTTTAATGGGTACAACCTTGGTAAATACATCGCTGTTTGATGGGTTGAAGAACAGCTATTTTGCTGTGCCAAAAGAATCATTGCATAGGTCACCACCTTGAACCCAAACCCCGATGATTTGCAAGCCACATGCCATGGGTTTTTCTGGCTTTTGGTCAGTCACCCAATGGGAATCCGTGATGGTAAAATATGTCCCATGACTCAGCCCATGATGACTCTCCGATCCCCATAGGGAAATTCACCTGGGAAATTCGCCCCAGGTGTGATATTTGTTATACACATCACATGCATATAGATACAAGATGTTCTATTTACATATATATATATATGGTTGGTGGTTTTAACCATCTTGAAAAACACTAGTCAATGGGAAGGATTATCCCATATATTATGGAAAATAAAAAATGTTTGAAACCACCAACCAGATATATAATGTATGAGCTATATGCTGTATATATCATCATATATCCTGAATTCATCAGTAGAGCCGCAGCGGCTCAAGCTACTGCGGGCTGTGAGGAAAAAGAACTGGAAAGAACGTCACATTACAGATAGAGATGGCGATACTCAATGTCTACGTCTGTATACACAGGATTATTTTCTTGTTCAGTGTGTGATATGTTCACATGAGAAATTTCCCAATGATCTATATACCTGCGTTTTTTTGTATGTGAATATTATGGAGACACACTGAACAAAACACACGCACAATTTTCATCGGTTGGTCAGCTTACCCTTAGTGATGCCCAGTAACCTCAAGCAAAATCTACAAAAAAATGTGCCCTCTGCTAAACCAACATAGCTATGAAAAATGACCATTTATAGTTGATATACGTTTAAAATGGTGAATATCCATAATTAGCTATGTTAGTTTACCAGAGGGGAATTTACCACTGTTTTTAGTGGGCTTTTGTGTTCTGCCTATTTGCAGATTGACATACCTATATAATATGTCGTTGTTGAAGCCTTGATATCCACTTTAATAGCTCCAGAACCCAAACCAACCCCAGCCCGGTTAACAACAGAAGTATAGGAAGTGATGCTTACTGACATCCATTTCTGCCCCACCCTGCCAAAAAAAAACCTTCAGGCCCTAATCCACCAACAAAGTCGAAGTCAAATCCGCCAAAGTGATAGTTCAATCTTTGAAAATTGATAAGTCCCTTTGTCCTATTGATAGTCTAATAGTCCCAAATCCATCCAAATTCCATTCTGGATAGGTCAAAAGGTCAAAATGCCTCACTCTGTGGGATTTGGGACACTCCGCTCTTGACCCATACCAACATCCCCCATCCACCAGAATTACAGAAGGTACTTCTACCAACTACTCGTATTGTATGCTACAACTTCTATTGGTTCTAACCCTCTACGTTCTTCCCCAAGCCAGAGAATTCCTCCAACATAGATCTTGTTTTGATAGAAATCACCCAAAAAATCAAAAGAATTGCGAACCTTACAACCATCAAGTCCCCAATGTTTCATCCCAAAAACGACTCCCAGTCCCATCCGAAACCTCCCAAAACACGGCCCAGGGACAGACCACTCGTTGAAATTCCATGTGATCCAGTCGGACCAGGTCGGTTCATCCAGGCGATGCTCACGCAGCCCCACACGCCACTGGCCATCCGTCTTCTCGATGATTTTCTTGAAGACTAAGATCCTGCGAGCCGGTGAACCGCCCAACAAAAAACCATGGAGATTTTCGAAAAAACACCACAATGTAAGGCCGAAACATGGATATATGTCTGGTTGATTTCCTGTCAGCAACTAATCAAACATCTGTGCGGTTGAAATGAAAGTTCGGATCAACAGTGAATAATGGGATAACCCATTATTCAACTATCAATAATCAATAAATGATGGGATAATCCCATAATCCCATCGAATCAAACATCGTTTTTTGGTGGCATTCATTTACCAACTATTCGCTTAACTCTCCATGATCATTCTCCACGATTTGCAAGAGAAAAAAGTTCAACAACTTTCCAAAAAAGTGTCACATGGAATTTGTGTTATAACGACCAACAAAAACGCCATGGTTTTTGTTGGTGCAGCTTCAGCCATGACATCCATACCTGGGATTCCATCAAAAACTGTACTCCCCAATAATTGGGGAGTACCCTCTGGTAGACATTTGCAAAAAGCTATGGAAAATCACCGGAAGTGCGGTAAAAAAATCAACTGTTAATGCGCCATTGAAAAAATTGAAAAAAAATGTTAACTCTGAAATTACCAGAGGGTAGTACAAAACCCCATATGTCACAACCAATCAACAGGGGTGTGTTGTTGGAGCCACAGGTAGATTATCATCAGTTGGTTCCTGGATTCCAACATGGGCATAGCTATAGCTATAGATGCCATGGTTTCATAAATGTGCCAATCAGCCAGATACCCTGCAACAAATATATATATATAATCTTAGCTGATGAACGTAGATCCCATCCCATACCAAAAGACGATGATCAATTTAATGATTAGTTTTTACCTACCCATCTTTCAGATTGACCCATTGTCTTGAGGGATACCCTCTGGTAAACTAACATAGCTATTGAAAATGGTCAATGATAGTGGATTTTCCCATGAAAAATGGTGATTTTCCATAGTTATGTGAGTTTACCAGAGGGTAAACATCCCATTGCCAGCCATACCAAGACACTCCGGCCAGCCCTTGCGAGAAGAAAGCAGGGCCTCCGCTGTGAATTTTTGGAGTTCTGGGGATAACCCCCAGAAGCGAATTTGAAGCCAATACCTGAAGTATTCATATATTACCCTCTGGTGGCCCATAGAAATAGATGGTTTACCTGGGTTTATCTATTAAAAATGGTGGATCTTTCCATGGCTATGTAACAAATAACCAGATGGTAGTATCCAATGTTAATATTAACCCCAGTTGTGGGTGTAAACGAGGTCTGTATATTTCAAATGAGCTTTTTTGAAATATACGGCTTACGTATAAACCATAAATTTTCTTTTACACAGCTGCGAATACGCAAATCGTGGTGAAACGTCCCATTGAAACATCACCTGTGCCCGTGCAGTAATAGCTAAATCAAAGTGCCGAGGTATGAACGGGGTGGGCTGGGCTTTGTAGATGTCAAATTGGATGAATGAAAACTATACAGCGTTTGTATAAGCAACTTTATTTGTGTATAAATATATTATATATATTGCGGTATATCATCAGGTTTATATATCTATATATAGATAGTGTATAGTATATTGCACGGTTTCAGCCAAAACACGCCAAAAAATCCGTGTGAAAATCCTGCAATGCTCACATGGACTTGAAAGCAAGAAACGTACTTGGAGGATCCTCCCACTTCGTATATCTGGTTGGTGGTATACCTATCCCTCTGAAAAATATGAGTCCGTCAATTGGGATGATGACATTCCCAATATATGGAAAAATAAAACATGTTCCAAACCAACCAGATATAACTGGTTAGTAAGTGGGTATATAGTTCTCCCACTTAGATTAATGGGACAACCGCAGTTACGGTTACTAAGTGGGAGGATCCTGCAGGTATCGTGGATGAAAAGTAGACCCTGATTGGTTGACGCTACTTGTACCCTGGTTGACACTGGTTGACAGAGATACTCCTGGGCGACACTGAGTATGCCCCGGACTGGTCGTCAATACAGGATGTGTTTATTACCTCCATTACTCAGGTCAACTTGGATTAAACCCTGGAAACCCTGGTTGCTTAACCCTTGGGGTGATGATTTGCTGCTAAAATCGTACTCCCCTATGATCAACAGCCAAGGGGGTTGCTGTAGTTGGGTGTATGCGTATAAAATCAGAAAGAAAGCGTGCATTTACAGAACAATACCTGACAAAACGCCGCAGTGGCAGACTATCTTCTCATCTGCACAGACAATGCAGCATTATAAATCCAGCAAAAAATAGGAGAAAACAAAAGTGCTTCCAGATGCCTTTGAGCTACTATCTTCTGATCATTCAGATTCCAGGTTTTAGATGAAATTGACTTCGCAAGTCCAAATTTAATGTTTATCTATATATATGTATATGTATATATATATATTATATATGTATGTATATATATATATATATATTACAGATGTTAATGAATGTGTCTATTAATGAAATTGTCCCATGATAAGTCCAAAAGGATCATCCAATCGTTTACAAGTATAAGTCCATGAAATAAATTACTGCTAAAAAATGATGATGCCACAATCACATATTTATAAAAGTCCCAAAAAAAAAGTCCCCATAATCATGAAATAAATCCCATAAAACAAGTCCCAATAATATTTTTTTAAATATGGAAAGGATCATGGAAATAAATCCCATTATGTTTGTCCATTATAAATAGATAAAGTCCATTATTTGTGTCCATTACAATTCCATTAAGTCCATTATTTGTCCATTATAAATACCATCTGGTAATTTAACATAGCTATGGAAAATCACCATTTGTGATGGGTAAATCCACTATAAATGGGCCATTTTCCATGGCTATGTTAAATTACCAGAGGATATGTCCCATTCTTTACTGCACATTTTCCATTGCCTTGATGGGTCATCCCTGAAAGACCCATCAAAGGCACCCCGGCTTTCTTTCGGCAATGGCGCTGCTTGAGAGACCCAGTGTTGGGGTGGTAAAATCCCATGGCTTGAGATGGATTTGCCCTCTAAAATGCTGAATATTATTTATATATATATATGTATATATATAATTATATATATTATAGTATATATATATATATACTATAGTAAATGTATATATATATATCATCCATATTTATGTATAATTATATACACTCTAATACAAGTTGACCATAATTACCGAAGAAAAATGCTGTTTGATGTTGATCTTCGGTGCCCAAAAAATCCGCAGCGCCTTCTGTTCATCCGTTTTGTCGGATAAATCCGGTCGTTGGATTCGCAGACCGGTGAATTGACGGGCTCTTCCTCGGTGGTATGACATGGAGACCCGGCCTGGTCAACGTTTAACAGTTTTGCTATTGAAAATGGTGGTTTAATGGTGGTTTAATGGGGTTTAACCAACAAACATCGGTGATTTTAATGGGATATACCCTCTGGTTATGTCAAAATAGCTATTGAAAATGCCCATTTTTAGTGGATTTTCCCATGAAACATGGTTATTTTCCATAGTTATGTTGGTTTACCTGGTAATGACTAACAGTTTGCTATTGAAAATTGCCATTTGTAATTGATTTGCATCGTAAAAACGGTGATTTTCCATAGCTATGTAAACGTTTACCAGAGGGTAACCTGAAACCGAACATGGCTGGAAGATGCAAAAATCCCATCAAATCTGATAGATCCCCATGTTTTTGATAGGAAAATCATCTGTAACTGGCCATCAAGTATGTGGAATGTGGACTTCTCCCAAAATTACCACAATGTAGGGGCCCCCTAGTCAGTCATAAATTGATTTATAAACCCCATTAACTATAGTTATAAGTACATATAAGTACCATAAATCATAGTTACTGGAGTTATAAACCAACTTAGCTATCTTGGGGGCCCCACATTGCAGGTCTGATTACTGGGTATGTCCTCAATATGGGCAAGGCATCAATGTTGAAACACCCAAAACCTAACCTTCGTTCGACTTTGAGTCTCCAACAGCAAATAGGGGCCCTCTTGGAGGAAACAACAAAAATGCCAAACATTAAGAAATCATTGCATATGATTGTGCGAAGTCTGCACGCAAAAGGCTGACATATTCTCGAGTGTGCCACTCCCCATTCCAGTCATCATATTGCTAAACTTTAATTTCTAATGTCTAATGATTTAGCCATCATTCATGTAAAATTCATAAAAATTATGCAAGTTATGTCATTTTTAGTCATCATCGTATTGTCTAAAAATGTAAAATCTCTATGTTTATTGGTTGAATCACACGAAATCCCCATGCATTTCTTGCGGCTTAAATCCTGTTCAAAATCCCCACATGTCGTCTCAGTGAACTCACGTTTAACATCTCCATGGTGTTCATGCTTAAATCATCTCAACTCCTAAGTTTTCTTCCTTAAATCACCTTAAAAACCATTTAAAGCCCATAAAAATAATCCCAAAAAAAGATTTCCATAATCAACCACTATCGACCACTATCAACCACTATCAACCACAATCAACCACCATTAACCACTAAATCAATCGCAATTCCAGGATCCTAAATTGGAGGTACCTACCATATATAAGGCCTATTTTTCAGGCCTAAATTTCAGGGAATATCCCCCCAAAATATGGCCTAAAAAATATGGTACGTTTACGTACCTCCATCTGTTGGATCCTGGAGATCTCCCATTAACCACTATTCACCACCATTACCCTCTGGTAAACTAACATAACTATGGAAAATCACAATTTTTCATGGGAAAAATCACTATAAATGGCCATTTTCAATAGCAAACTGTTAGTTTACCAGAGGGTAATCCATCTCATAGCTATTCACCACCATTAACCCCTGGGGTAAACCACCACCATCCACCATCCCCCCAAGGCAGTCCCAGCGACGCCGCCGCCGGCTCTCAAGGCCTCCCGGGCGCCAATCCTCGGCCAGGGCAGCGCGCTTCACGAAGAAGCGCCGCTCGCCTGGCGCGTTAGACTTCGATGCTGTTAGTATAATTGGTTAGTATAAATACGAACAGACTAACTAACTATACTAACTATACTAACTTAGATTACTTTGCTAAATATCGTTAGTATAGTTAGTATAGTTAGTATAGTTAGTAAATCCACGTTGCAATCCTTTGCCACAAGAGCGTCACTTCTTGGGCTGACATGTCATTGAATTCTTCCTTCGCCCTGACCGCTTCTGAAATCCAGCTCTCCCGGTGCTTGTAAACCTCCTTGTCAAATTCAATCTCAGTGGGCTTTCCAAGCAGATCAATCTTGTATTGTGCCAGAAGCGTCGAAACACGCTTGTTGAAATCGCTTTCCAAAGTCAATGTTCGATACGTGTATCTCCCGATGAGTAGGTGCATATACATCCCATCAGATGCATTAAATAGCACTTCCTCTGCAGGCGACAGTTTCAATCGGCAGTCATCAACAGCACTGCGGTGGAAGACATTGTGCATAGCCTTCAATTCTTCGAATGCATTCCCAAGGCCACCTGCCATGAAAATACCAATGTCCAAGTACCTCTTCAGGTATATACCACATGTTGGTATACCAATGTAGGCAAGCACCAATCGTACCAAGATCTGTGCACCATGAAATATGTTGAACAACTGCTTAAGACCAAATGCAAATGGCTGAGATAGGTTGGACGATTGCTTTCTCAACCAAGGCTTTTTAGTGGTGAACTACATTTTCACAATATTTTGGTGTCCACCTGATCCGGGAATTTTGTGAGTTAAATCATCCCAAAAGGGTAGGATGAGCTCAGATCCAGCCCCCCGAAATTGTGGCATGTTTGAATTGAGGATTCCTTTTGAAATTGTGACTCCAAAAACTGGGAGAAAGATTTTCTAAAGAAAGCCATTAGCTAAAACTAATGAAATAGATTGAACAACTGATGACAACCTATGGTAAAATGTTGCAATACGTTGAACAACTGCACTGAAAACCAACGAAAGTAAACAATGAAATAGGTTGGACAATTGCTTAAAACCGAATGTAAAAAGGCTGAAATAGGTTGGGAAACTGCTTAAAACCAGTGTATAGTTAGTATAGTTAGTAAATACTAGTATGCTATTAGTAAATGTATATATATACCATTGTCATTGTTTCTCCGATAGTTTTATACTATTAGTAAATGGCGGTTTAGTAAATATCATAGTGTATAGTAAATGTTCGCGTGTTTATTACAATGGATATACTGAAAAATAGTGTAATTAGTATAGTTAGTACATCCACAAAGTATACTGACTTAAGGTATATACTATTAAAGTATAGTTACTTAGTATAGTTAGGTATCCAATTGAACTAAATCTCAGTGAATTGTATGGATATATATATACAGAGAGAGATTAAGTTCTGGTGACTTAGGACTTAAGGCCTTCTGGTGACATAGGATTTTGGGCACCAAGTCCTAAGTCACTGGGCTTGTTACTAATATCTCTGGTAATTTAATATAGCTATTATATATAGCTATTGAAATTGCTCTTTTTAATAGGTAAATCAACTATCAATGGCAATTGCCAGTAGCTATGTTAAATTACAAGAGGGTAATCTCCCTAGTGAATTGTATGGATATATTCTCCACTAGTGAATTTACGCATTGAACGATTTTTTCAATGGTTCACCAAATGTCCTACTTGAACATCACCCAACTTTTATGGATACAATCTCCAATAGATTGAATAGATACTTGAAAGTCTTCAAAATCCCCAAAACAAAACATTTACCAACCCCTGTGTTTCTATGTTTTTCTGTGATTATCTTACCATTCAGTTGCTTAACGAGATTTTTTTCGTGGGAATGTTCGTGGCAGTGGGTTTTTTTTTTCGAATAAATTCTTTTGGCATTCACCCAGTTGTTGGGAGAAGCAACCAGATTTCTAGGGATGTCATGGGGTCATGGGGAGATTTTTTGTGTCATTCATCGGTTGGTGAGATGAGTGGGAATATTGAGACTGGTTGATGGTTTCAACACCTCTGAAAAATATTAGTATGTAATCCCATATATGAAATGGAAAATAACAAATGTTCCAAAGCACCAACCAGTAAGATCATTCCAGTTAATGTGAGGGGGAATTTATCTGGGGTCATTTTTCAGGCCTGGCGGACCTGGCAAACCAGTTGGACCCCTGTGACACCAGTGGAGAATCACCCAGATTTTCATCGGAAGATTTACTGCATGTTTATGCGGATGTAACCGGATTTACCATTCACCAGTTACTGAAAATGGTTGAAATGATCATTGATTCAATTGATTCTCCAATTACTTGGAGAATTTTGTTCCACTGAATATGTAAAAATCTCGGGGGACAGATCTTTTATTTGTTTCATGGGCCCCCTTTCTTCCAAAAAAGAAAAAAACAACGACGGTTACCCCGAGGTGATCCTCGAAGCCTCGAAGTACGAGGCTGTTCACCATTCAACTACCATCTGGTTATGACATTCACAGTTTGCCATGGAAAGATCCACCATGCTATTCAGTTCGGTAAAGCATCTATTTCGATAAATGGGCCATCGAAAAACCACACCAAACTGTGAATGTCATAACCAGAGGGTGGACTTACAAAGCAGGGACTATACTTAGATGGGCCATGGTTTTTTAGTTAACTGCTTAGTAACCGGTTATATATACCCTCTGGTAAACGTTTAAGTCATTGGTAACTGGTGAAAACCCCTCCGAGAAACTAACATAACTATGGAAAATCACCATTTTCAATGGGAAAACTCACTATAAATGGCCATGTTCAATAGCAAACTGTAAACGTTTACCAGAGGGTAATGCATCTCATAGCCAGTTAGTTTTTCGCCAGTTACTACCCCGTGAATTAAGTCCCGTACGGCCCATCTGAAACGATGGCGAATCACTAGCAAAATGGTGATGTTACTATTTAAAAAAAAGATATCTCATCTCAATGGATTGGATTAGGGGAAAAATTACTGGTTTAAGCCCCATATTTAATGGGAAAATCGATGGTTTTCGGTTAAGATTTTCCCTTAAACCAATCCATTGATCATCACGAAAAAATGTCATGTAACTATGAAACATCGAGGTTTTTCACAAGCAAAAATTCTGATGTCACAATAAGAATTGTAAGTTTGACGATGAAAAATGAGGATTTTACTGTGAAAATGGTGGCTTAACCAGAAAAAGTGGTGATGTTATCGTAAAATACTGTTGACTTAGCCATGAATCATTGAGGATTCACATGCAAACGTGGAGGTTTGAATAGCAAAAAAATTGGACTTTGGCACCACAGAATGGGTGAAAAATCACGGGCAAGCTTCGATTCTAATCTAAGTGGATTCTTCAAAGCTGCTTGGCATATCTCCCTATTCAAAACCCAGGAAATGGCTGTGAGTTTTTGCTTCGTGTTTTCCGGGGAAACCTTAAGTATCACTTTGAAAGATTCATATAATAAATGGAAAAAATGGAAGACATGAAGATGACTTGTACTGGGATGAGCTTGGAGAAAGTATACAAGAATATACAAGACTTGGACTTTACGAACAAAACTGGGAGTGTGACTATTGTGTATCAATCTGTAGACGATTCTCCCATGCAAAGTGCGTTGTAACATGGTTTTTATATGGTTAGATAGGAATCCACATAGAGATTGCTTGCGGATCATTACGAGGATGATCATCTTCAGTATTCTTACAAGGTGGTGCCCCGTTCGATAGCTAAGTTGGTGCGTTTATAACTCCAATTTCAGTATGGTTTATGGTTGATATATCGCGCTACTATTCCTATGGTGTTTGTTAACCAACGAAACCACATCACTGGGGGGCACCACCGCCCGTAAGAGTAATGAAATGCCAGCAGTTGGTCTTCAAGGAATCCAGGGTCATCTACAGCAGCATCTGGGTCATGGATGTCATGGTTGTGTTCATCATCGAATCTTTGACGTTCATTTGTCATGGCCAATCAGCCAGAGGGCCCCTGCAAAAAATCAGCTGGTTAGTTAGTAGATCATCCCATACCAAAGTCGACTATTTAATAGATTAGTTTATATTAGTTTCTACCCATCTTTCAGATTGACCATCATATACCCCATCATGAAAAACCACCATATTTCACCACCATTAAACCACCATTAAACCATCATTAAACCATCACTAAACCACCATATTTCACCATCATTCACCATCGAAAGTCACCCATCCGCGGCGTGCTAAAACGAGCTGCCTTTGGTCAAATACATCGTCTGCTCCGTGGGCGTTCGATATCCCAAGTCTTCGCCGGAGAAGAACGGGGTCCTTTTCGGCTCACGGAGGCGACCATGGCCAGCCAGATACCCTCTGGTTATGTCAAAATAGCTATTGAAAATGGCCATAAAAATAGTGGATTCTCCCAGTAAAAATGGTGATTTTCCATAGTTATGTTAACGTTTACCAGAGGGTACCCTGCAAAAAATGAGATTCTTAGCTGGGGAAAATTCATCTTACAGAAGTGCTGGGTTTTTGTTGTCCGAGGTCAAACTGATGGCTACCTGCAGAACGGGAGGAGATACAACCACAATGAAACTGCATGAAAAATGGACGGGATGACCAGTTCTCCACTTCTTTTTTTCCGTGGGACAATAGATAGCGTGGCGAATCTGAATGTGGAAGTTTTTCAGCATCAAATGAGCACCGCTTTAAGCTTTTGATGCTGCAACAAACTGGACGAAAATCACTTCCCCCATATCAAAGCCACCCAGAAAGCCATGGCCCCAATGGGGTTTTGATTGGAACAGATCTTTGGGACGAGGTGCAAGCCCCTTCCCATTCTTGTTGCTAAACATTCATCGCCCGCTGGCTTTTTTATTCTCCTTCTATGGGATCCTAAAACCATGGTAAATTTCCCGAAAAACTACCAAACCAGAGGTTCTATTTCTATTTCTTGGGAGGGTCAGTGCTTCCCATTATCGAGTTTGCAAAAAGAATCTTCATAGAATCTACATGATCCATCGATCGATGATTCCCCAAGAAGAGGCGCAAGAAAAATAGGAAAGTTGGTAACCTAACGATGGGAATTTATAGTGTAACTACAGTTGGATGGGGGTTTAATAACAGTTATAACTGATTTCTGCACAATAAAAATCACTGCTGGGTCCATCCAACAGGTATAAAAGTCCATTCAAAATCCAGAAATTCCATGATCTCCCCTTCATTTTTATACATAAATTTGTAGGGCTGCCGTCCCGGCGACGGAAAACCCACCCAAAACTCCTTGTGAAGTTGGTTCCCTGATGTGCCTCAGGATGGTGGAAAACCAGAACTACATAGCTGGGATAAACCCCGTGACATACAGTGTTTATATATATATATACAGTATATGGTTTCCTAATTTGTATGTATTATATTATATATACACACATGCGTATATGAAGTATATACATATGTTTGATCATCTGGTTGTAGTTTGTTGGGATCCAAGTTTGCACATCTGAGGTCCACCTTCCCAGTTCGCGAGTTGAATAACCAGAGGGTAGCTGTCTGATGTTGATTACGACCATCATGGTAACTTCATAGGCTTTGACCCATTCAGACTTTTGGGCAGATGAACTCCTTCACCGGTGCCTCCAAGTTGGTGTCCCAGTACCGGCTGTCTTGCTTCCGGTAGTTGTTGAAACTGAGCCGTTGGCGGAGTGCGTTGGGCCGGGGGTTCTGTCATACAGGATTGGTCGAAGCAAAGCTTCTGGAAGGGCAAAAATGGATCAATTCCATGTTTTGGGGAATGTGTTTTTTTTTGGTATCAAAACCAGGGTCAAGAGATCGGTCATCGCTGGTGTACGGGACCTTTCCAAAGCGTTGGGCTTTCCATCTCTCTAAAATTGGGACCTTGCGTGAAATGTCCAGACAACCCAACCATTTATTGAGTCATGCGTGGTCTGAATCATCTAATGATCTGTAGTCAAATTCTTGATCAATGGGAATTTCAGGATCCTAAAATGGAGGTACTGTACCATATAAGGCCAAATTTTGTGGGGATATTCCCTTAAATCCACAACTTGTTGCACGCTTGTTCCGCGCATCTTTAGTAAACCCTGTGCCATACACTGTCCGCAATTTGGTGTACCCTCTGATGGTTTAACATAGCTATCGCAAATTACCATGTCAATATAGGCAAAATATAGGCAAATCATCTATTTCTATGGGCCATCAATATATATATATATTATATTATTTATATATATATATTATATATATTATATATTATATATTATATATATACATATTTATTATGTATTTATTATGTATTACAGATGTTTATTATATATGTTATATTATATATGCCCCAAAGAGACGTTCAATTACCAAAGGTTTTTCGGGTCAAAGATAACAACCACCAAGTCATTGGATGAAACCAAAAACCCGCACACTAGTGGCACTAAGTGATGATATGAAACATGATGAAACCATCACCAGAATGAGCCTGAACCTTATCAATGTTAGTAAAGCAATGTCATAAGCCATCTGATGGCTTATACAATTAATGTTAGTCAATCACCATCCACATGTTGATGATTGTTGATGTGTTTCTACAAGCCACGAAAATTGGTTGTTCATTGGAGATGGTGGATCCCTCTCAGCTGGGACCCGTCTCCCTTTTTGCGAGGAGCATGCTGCAGCCAGCATAGACGTTGCGCCGGCGACTAGTTGAACTCCTGTCCGTAACAATCATAGAAATGGATGATTCAATGGATGATTCAACCCCAGTCGATAGAGTTCAGAAACGCCTAAAAAAAGTGGCTGAACAAACCACGGTGTATCGTAGATATAACGAATTACTTCATGGGGTGGAAAAAAACCTATAACATAGGGATATAACTATAGTTACTATGGAAAATATTGGAAAATCACCATTTTTAATAGGTAAATCACCTATTGATGGGCTTTCTATCTATAGTTCATGGGCTTTATAAACCAACAGCCACACAACTGGGGGAGCACCATCCTGTGCTTATGAAATCCCTATGGTAAGGGGTACCACAATAGGGGCTTTGCCTTGGGTGTGCATAAGGGCTCGGTGAAAAAATGGAGGATGCACTGGTCAGACGGGAGACTAGATGAAGAAATCAAGTGGATAAACTGGATACTACAACTGGTTGGTGGTTGAGCCCTACCCCATATAGATGATTAGTTATATCCCATAATTTATGCCATTAAATCCAATATTTCAACTATCAACCACTGTCTGGTTGGTGGTTTTTAGCCCTACCCCTCTGAAAAATGATGGAGTGAAAGTCAGTTGGGATGATGTATTTTTCCCAATAAACGAAAAAAAATAAAAGCCATGTTCCAAAGCACCAACCAGATATACTTAACTGCTGGTTCCGCTTAAGTTGCCCCCCTTCCTATCGCACTAGATGATCATTTTTCTGGTCAATCATTAAATGGGAGTGTCCTAAGTCATGGGGGGGTACTCCCAACTCATCATCCAAGTCATCCAGGTGCCCATGACTATTGAAACAATCATGGTGACGACTGGGGTACCACATCTCCGGGATGATGCGATGATGCCTAGCTAACATTGAAACCATGGTCTCGTATGGTAGACCCCCCAATAGAAGGGCTATTGAGATTGTGTTGAAATAACATGAAATAACAATTTCATGTAAGAAAAACAATGCCATAAACCACCAAATCACCCATTTGGGAATGGTTTATACCACCTATGTATGGTGAAATTGGGGATGGTTTATTATTGTTTTACCACCTAGGTATGGTGAAATTGGGGATGGTTTATTATTGTTTTACCACCATTAATTGAGATTTCCGTTTTGT